TTTTCTTTCTTTTCTCTTTTCCTCGCATCGAGCCGACGTCGTTCGCCTTTATTCGTTTCGTACAAATGTGGGGGAGAGGGAGGGAGGAGGAGGAGGAAAAAGTGGAAGAGAAAAAAAGGGGGAGAGGACGTTGATATAACGTTTCGTTATTCTTTTCTACGGCGTGTAATAATCGTCGCTTAATGGTAACACGTCACGCAGCGTAGTTAGCGCGAATAGCTGAGCACTTAACGACGGGAGCATTTCCTAGCCCGCGATTCGGCCTCGTAATTTGTTCGATAAAGGGAGAGGAGGGGGAGGGGGGGTCGAGTTTGTTCCAAGCTCGCAATTTTTTCTCCCTCGAGGCTTATTCAAGCGCGATTACTTTTTACAGTTATTCAACATTTAGATATATTTATGTCGAAAATGGAAGATGGAGAGAGATTCTCTCTTATCTTTGTATTTCATCATCATTTCAGTGTTGGAAGTGTTTTTTTGGAGAAAATTGATTGTTTAAAAAAAAAAATAATCGAGCGTCAACGGATACGAAGAAAGAACCCTTACAAAATACTAGCTTTATATATAAATACTATACGATACGTAATGTATCGATTAATTCGATCGATTTTTTATATATATATATATATATATACATATATATTAAACTCTTCTATCCTACTTTCAAACACACGGTGTACGTAATCGCGTTGTCACAGCACGCCATATGGGGATCTCGTTCGCGTAAATACGCATCCGCCTATCGGCTTCCACCGCCCCTAATTAAATGATGCCACCCTAATTTCTATAATTCTTCCATTTCGATTCGCCGCGGTGTGTCTAATCCGATTTCGTTCGTTCGTTCGTTCGTCGACGATACGAGGCGAGCGCTGTTATAATTATTCCTCGACGCTTGCGCTCATTGTTTCCGAGCGTGAACCGTATTTTCACGTTCGAAACGCTCCAATAGATTCCAGAAAGAGCATTCACGCACACACACACCACCGTACGTAAATTGGAGCGGGCATAGTTGGCAGACATCGAGAGGGAGAAGGAGAGAAAGAGAGAGAGAGAGAGAGAGGAGGCTTTGAAACACCTTCGAACCAGATGGTCGTTAGATCCGATTCACTGATCCACCGGTGGTGAAATTTTTGGTGGTGTTGAGAAAGTTTCGTTTTCCTTTCCTTTCTTCCCCTATCTCGTTCCAATCATCACTTTTCTTTCGCGAAGACGACGCGAGAAGAATTTAGGAAATTTTTCTCATTTTTATTTTTTCGAGAGAAGAATTAAGAAAGGAGTTAAGAAATTGTCCAAAAAAATTCCCTAACCCATTCTTCTTAACGTTACTTATACGTATCTACCTAAGTTATTAATCTTTGCATCGATCGAATCGCATGATAATAATCGTTTCGAGTCAAGTCGTAACGCGATATTTTAACCGATATTAGCCGAAAAGCATTCGAGAATCGGCCTTAAAATCGTCCAACGGGGGGAGGGGGAAAAAACGTTCGAACTTGGGAAAGTTCGTTTCGAGCGGAGCGAGTAGTAGAATCATCCTTGGTCCGCATCCTTGACGACCCAAGTAGAAGCAGCCGAACGGATCCGCGATAGAAGGACCACCACCACCACCACCA